AACCCTGACCCAGCACCAGGCACTACTTGCTCACACTGGATGAGTAATTCCTCTCCAGAAAGTGCCGTTGGATACTATTTTGCCATTGAAGATGCTTCCTTGTGCGTCTGAGGTGGATCTTTTATTCTAAGCCATGACCTGTTAGCTTATGTTTAGTTTATGTTACCTTTGTCCAATAAGTATTTGTTTGCAGATCCAGACCTAGCATTTAAAACCAAAATCTCGTCAGATCAAAAATGGTTATTGATTGAGGTCTATTGGTCATCTTCACAAACTGAGCAGTCAGGCCCTGTAGAAACTGGTCAGGACAATTGCTGGTGGTCTTAAAAAGTTCAGATCCACATCCACAGATGGGGAGAGATTTAGCTACTCTCATAACTGAACTTTCCTAAATATTCCCCATTGTAAATGGATCATTAAGATTCTTGTTATCTTCTAGATTCCGGGCAGGTAAGGAAGTCCTGAGCTGTACATGACATGTCTAAAATAGACATTTGAGGTAGGGCGCGGTGGCTCGTGCCTGTAATCTCAGCACTTTGGGGGCCGAGGTGAGCAGATCACTTGAGGTTGGGAGTTTATGACCAGCCTGGGCAACAGAGCAAGACCCTATCTTTACAAAAACCAACAGAAAATTAGCTAGCTGTGGTGGCATGCCTATAATCCCAGCTATTCAGGAAGTTAAGACAGGAGAATCACTTGAGCCTGGGAGTTCAAGACAGATTGGAACAATATGGGTTCTCCAAGGTTACCATGATAATGTACCTATGATTGAGCCATTGTACTTCAGCCTGGGCAACAGGACAATACCCTGTCTCTAAAAAATAAATAAAATAAAATATAAAATAGAATGGACATTTGCATTACTTTGCAGCCCCTTGGCTTGCTCCAATCATATGGCTTCAGTTAAGTTTGGCTTAGAGTTCCTGACCAGTGGGACTTGTGATTTCTGCCTGTAATCAGACTTTCCTAAGACTATCATGATACCGCCTATCCAGTCAGACTCTAGTGATCTTGCAAAACTGTGATGGTTTATCCACTCCAGTCCCCAGACTAAACCTCTCCCTTGGCCAGTGGAGGATCCCTCCAACATCCACTCCACCACATATCCAGGAGGACCTCTGTGGGTCCATCTCTGCTTGCCCTGAAGGAGCAGAAGCTGAGATATACAAGCCTCTGCCCTTTCCACCACCACCTTCGTCTTAGTGGGAACTGAAGTGGGAGACCAAGATTGCATCCCGGGCAAGTCACTTCTACTTGCTGTGGGATGCCAGGCATATGACTTAAGGAAAGAGTTTCAGAGAGATTATCTGAAGAGACTCAGGTAGTGAGAACAAGGGGTTGTTGAAGGATTAGGTGGGATTACATAGGCCACAGAATACTTTATATTGGTTACATCCTAATTTACAGATATCATATGGCACTTACCCTTTTACAGTGCTTACCATGGGTCAGATTACTTGGCCCTTCCATGTATCATCTCCTTAGATACCAGGATAACTTCATGAATCGGGCACTAGCTCTGGCCCCTCAAAGGCTCTGGATTTTTAATTGTAAATGCAAAATTGCTACATTGTCCACGACTATTTAGTTATTTAGTGTCTGAGCTGAGTTAACACAGGGTTATCAGAGTATGAATCTCACATGGTAGATATGTAGGTGTTATGGAACCCAACAGAGATAACTTTGGATGGGGGTCTTTTTGGGCATTCTTCAAATCATGCCCTGTGAACAACCATTACTCTGCCTCCAATGAGGTCACACCCTGCTCTCTATCTTAGCATATTTTTGATGATATCTCTAATAATTGAGGATGCAATAAATTCTAGTTCTCTTCTTCCTGCAATAATATCCTTCCCCAAACTATGGCCCTAGAATCTTCAAAATTCTCGAAAATATTTCTGGTAAATAAATGTTTCCCATTCACCATCCATCCCTCATGCTCTTGCAGGGCCCTCCCCAGACACAGGCTGGCAGAAGCAAATCTCCTAATACTGACTGCTGAGTTAGAGGCAGCTTCTCCTCATCTATCAATTCTAACTGCATTCAAACATTTTCAATATGTGGGCTCCACTGTATGGAAAACAAAATGGAGGGAAATGATTATTGGCACAAAACGGGGAGACCATAAATCTTCAAATCAGATATAGGACAGATTGGAACAATATGGGTTCTCCAAGGTTGCCATGATAATGTACCTAATAACTCTCCTTGGGCAAAAAGGCAATCTGCTTTCAATCAATCTCGCTTTTTTCTGAGCAAAAATACCAATTACGTTGAAGGAAGATTTTTTTCTTCCTTTTTTGATAAAGACAGCTCTCCACCCCAGAAATCATGCTGTGGCTAAAAGATATATATTTTCAATTGTCTACAATGGTATTGGATAGCTAGCACCAAATGAAAAAAGTCAATCCTTTTTTTCTCCTCGCTCTTGCCAACATTTGTCTACTTCTTAAGAGAAGTGAAAGTTAATTAAAGGCTTAAGGGATAATATTGATTGCATTGGAATATATTTTATATGTACCCAGCACATTTTCAAGGAAGAGAACCCTGACTTTTTCTAAGGCTGAATAAATCAGCCAGCTGAGCTTTTGATTCAAGGGTGAGGGGGGGAACTCATCTTTTCCCCTTGCGCTTCTCACACATCTTTCCTAGGGATGAATGATTTCAGGAGAGGAGGAGGGATGCTGGCTGATGTTCATTCAGTTCTTTGCATCCTGGGTAGGAAGAATGAATGTTCAGGCATTTACCCAGACCTATCATTGATTTGAGTCTAGCTTTGAGTAATAACCAGGCTTATGCTGGTACAGAACTTTGAACTTTACAATGCCTGGCACAGGAGGCTGGCTAGGTGGTATTAACCTCTCAGTTTCCTCCTGCATTGAATGGGAATAAGTACCTTGCCCACACTCTTGGTCGCAGAGCAGGAAATCACATCTGGCTTACTTTCACATCCAAGTGATGAGAACAACCTCAACCACCTATCTGTCCTGTGGAGATACCCACGCATTGGATTCACATTGGCTTTGCTCCTAATCTTGGAAGTCTATGCACAGAAGACGTTAGAATGGCAAAGTAGCCCTATTGTCAGTTGCAAGGAAGTTAGGTCAGTAGGGGAATTCTGTTTCTCATTCACTTCAAACATATTTGGCAAATTCAGAGTCTGAAATCTTATTCCGAACATGCAAATTTGTTTGAAGTATTTTGTCCATGTAAATGTACATGTGCCACAAGAAACATTTAAGAATATATGATAAAATGCATATCATCCAAGTGTTCAATCTATATTGTGTATTCTGATATACTGTGTGTTACACTATGTTAACCTCATACTACTCACCATATACTAATGAGGGGGTTAGTCATATGGGCTTTGGGCATAACATTTGGATGGGTGGCTAAGGGACCTTCATCAACCTAGCAGGAGAGCAAAGTGATCATGTTAAGATGTCTCTTCTGAAGTAGCTCATTGACACTCTTCCCTCCTCTTGGTGGCTGCTGCGTGCCTGATTGCTAAGCACACCACCGTAACAATAACAGTCTATAATGGTGATATTATTAACTGCATCGTGCATATTATTGATTTACTCTTTGTTCTGCATCATTATCCTTTCACCAATGAGTTTACTGCATTATTCTCACATACTTAGTCAAGCACCAAATTACAACGAAAGGGCAGGCTCTTATAATGGCATCTAATGGAACATTGCATAAGCCATCATCACTGCCTCCTATTATGAGCCACCTCCAGCCAATGAGCTTTCTGCCTTATTGGAATGTGCACAGAGCAATTATGAAGTGCAAGGGACATGGCCATTCTAAATTTTACCCAGGAAATTACCATGCTGCATGTTCACCACCTGCCCAAGTCTCAGTGTGCAGCTAGAGATTCAGCTTCTGTCACTATCAGCCTGGGGGATACAGGGACAGGAGTCGAGCCTCTTACTACACACAGTCTCTTCACTAGAAGCCAGTGGTTTTTATCTCCACAGTCAGTCCCCGGGTTTTTGTCTTGCGGCTGACTCCTGCATCAAATGCTTACTCCTGACTGGGCATTATGTGGCACATATAAGTGGCCAACAAAGTCACATTGGTCCAGGAGCCCAGAGCGGTTGGAGGGACTGTCAGTCTCAACAATTGTGGAAGAGGGTCTCATGTCTTCCTTGTGAGCCACTACTTCCGGAAATGGAAGTCCAAACCACCCTCAAACAAGGCGAGCAATTCCAGCCTCATCCCTTCCCGGCATCTCCCCATCTTGAGGTAAATTCCTTTGGCTCTCCTGGAAATCCCAGGCACCCTAAGGAAGCAGCCCTCTGGGGGCTCACAGCCAGCCGGCATGATCTTCCGTTCTATAGGCATCCCAGCCCTATTTAGCCCTGAGTAATGCTCACTTACTGTAAAGTGTTACATGCCCCCATTGTCAGAGGAGTTATAGTGGAAAAATGCAAAATTTCCTTTTTACTGCTTATGGCCAGCAGAGCCTATAACGTGTCAGGCCGCACATTAGCCACCCTGATAAAAGTCTGCTTTCTTACACACAAAATCATCGTTTCAGCAAGATTTGTTATCTCATTACCTGATAAGCTCTATGTCATAAACCAAGACTCATACAGTAAATCTCCCTGGAGGACGCTTTGTGGGCAGAAAGGGAGAGAGATGAATCTGCAAGGGACTTGATAATGCAGCATTTAAGCGCAAGCATAATGTCACTTATTGTTAAATGCATAAAACCACTTGGCCAAGCGGTTGGGCTTTTAATAGGATTTTGTGCAGCATCAGGTGAGGAGCCATATGCCTTTTCTGTCTAGGAGTCTCTGAGCACCTGCTAGCACTGCTGCTTTGCCTCACTGCCCTCCGGGAATGGGAGCTGGGCTTTTATGGAGGCAGAGGGAGGAGATGAATGTTTCCCCTGCAGCTGCCTCGCTTCTGCTGTCTTGCCAGGGGGTGGGATGTGGGGTCCTGTCGTGGCGCCTGGCCTGATCTAACTGGCCTCTCCTGTTCAGGCACATTGTGGTCTGCGGACACATCACTCTGGAGAGTGTTTCCAACTTCCTGAAGGACTTTCTGCATAAGGACCGGGATGACGTCAATGTGGAGATCGTTTTTCTTCACAAGTAAGAGCCTCCTACTGCTGTCAGACCCTCTGCCCAACCACACATCCTGCAAGGGACTCCCTGAATGTCTATAAGAGTGAAAGTCTTGGGGAGATGGCACTGGGGATGGGACCAGAGTTGGATAAGCCATGATCCCTGCTGGCCTCATTGGAGAAGATATTGCAGAACCAATGGAAAGGGAAGCAACACACTGGTTCAATGATGAGAGCAGAGCCTGCCTCTGTGGAGGCACTTCTGGGACCACATCCGAGTTTATCTCTGGAAGAAATAATAGGGGAGCTCATTGTGGGTCCAAGTCATCCTCATTGTCCCCTTAATCTGGCGTGTCCACAGTATCTGCAGTGGGATGATTAGCTGTATGGTGTGGATACGTTAGGAGTGCAGAAGTGAGTTGGTGACCAAGTAAGACACCAACTTAAGAGGAAGCAGGACAGAAGGTAATAGGAATAACAACTGCCACTCCTAGGAACCCCCAGCGTGGGACCCTAGCCAGTCACTGTACATACAGGCTCCCATTTACTCCACAGAGTAAAAATACATACTCTGGACTCAGATTCCCTGATCTGAATCCTGACTCAACCAACTACTGGCTGAGCAAGTTACTTAACCTCCCTGTGCCTCAGCTTCCTCATCCATAAATCATGGAGATGATAGTAGTTCCTACCTAGTTGGGCTGTGATGAGAATGAAATGAATTAATCCATATGAAATGTGCAGAGCAGAGTCAGGCATGCAGTAAGTCTTCAATAAGTGTTAGCTATCAGCCTGAAAAATAACATATATTTGGTTGTATAATCCACTTAGGAGGTAGGTCTTATCTTGTGTGTTTTACAGGGGAGGAAACCAAGGTAGGTCCCTTCTACCCAATGTTGAGGTTTTCAACTTTGCCTAATCCTCTTTTTAGGTAAAAGGTAGTCTGCCCCAGGAATGGAGAGAATTAGGGGGCTCCACTATGGTGACATATGTGGTACTGTAGTTGTCTTATGGAGATGGGGCTATCATGGGGCCAGTCCTGGTACCACATTGCAAAAGTTCAGGACAAAGCTAACATGTTTGTGTTGGCTCGACATGCTGGCTACCCAGCACTCGGTCCTACTCTGAGGTTCCACTGAGGTCGGCTTCCCTACAAACTCCCTGCTTTGTGGATCGCCGTCCTCTGGCATTTGCTCACAGAATACTAGACTTCTGACTTGTCATCATGTTGGGGCACTAGCATTTTTCTTTTCTGCACTGATTTTTCCAAACTTTGAAAAAACAGACCAGGGTATGTTAGCACAGGAGCAGGTACCCACAGGTTCCGTTCAGTGCTTAGCCACTGCTGTGTGGCCCATCCTCTGCTGAGCGTTTTTGGAAAGTTCACTAGAGGTGTAGGGTGTAGGTTGTGCCCCTATATGGGTTAGGCATTTCAAGATGAACACACATGCAACCATTAGAGACAACATCGACCCTGTGTTATCCAAGGGATGCTGAAGTCATTTTGATCGGGTGGCAGAAGTGACTGGGGACATCTCTTTCAAGGAGCATCAGTCTATGGTATTATCCGGACAGGCTTCTGAATAAGGTATGACTTGTCATAGGTCTGAAAGACTGGTCAGATTCGCATAGGCAGCCACTTTCTCTCATCCACTGCTTTAGTTTGAATAAACAAGCTGGTAAGGTGTGGTTGCTCATGCTTATAATCCCAGTACTTTGGGAGGCCAAGGTGGGCGGATCACTTGAGCTCAGGAGTTTGAGACCAGCTTGGGCAACACAGTGAGACCCCATCTGTACAAAAAATAGAAAGACTAGCCAGGCATAGTGGTACATGGCACGTGCCTATAGCCCTTGCTACTCTGAAGGCTGAGGTGGGAGGATGGCTTGAGCCTGAGAGGCAGAGGTTGCCGTGAGTCAAGATTGCACCACTGCACCCCAGTCCCTGTCTCAAAAAAAGAAAAGCTGGCTGCTAATGCTTCCATTGCAAGATTCACCTTTGTAGTCCTAACGTCTATCAATGTCTAGTAGATAGCCCAGTTAATTAACCTCTTGAAGCTCTGGGTTAATAACATACCTTCCTATAGGATTGTTTTGAGATTTAAATGAATACTCATCAAGGCCAGGCATGGTGGCTCTGCCTGTAATCCCAGCACTTTGGGAGGCCTAGGTGGGTGGATCACTTGAGGCCAGGAGTTCAAGACCAGCCTGGTCAAGGTGGCACAGCCCTGTCTCTACTAAAAATACAAAAATTAGCCAGGCATGGTGGCACATGCCTATAATCCCAGCTACTCTGGAGGATGAGGCACAAAAATTGCTTGAATCTGGGAAGTTGCAGTGAGCCAGGATCCTGCCACTGCATTCCAGTCTGTGTGACAGAGATAGACTCTAAGTAAAATAAAATAAAATAAATAAATAGTATTTATTTTACTTATTTATTTATAATACTGTTTTACTATTATTTATTTAAAATGTTGTCTGCCATATAGTAAATGTTAGAAAACATTAACTATTATTATTATTATCATTATGGACTTCACAAATGTTAGGCAAGTGTTGTCTTAGCACAGTCCCTGGCATATAGTAGGTTCTAACTAAATATCATCTCCCAGTACCTCGCACAGTATCTTATGGACAGTCTTTTTCATCTCTGCAGAATTAACAAATGAATAAATAGGTCACTTGTTTAATCCTCGTCCTCCAAAGAGGAAGGTATCAGTACAGCCCAGCACCAAGAAGTGTGATGAGTCGCATACATGTGTGTGAATCAAGAACAATAATGAGAGTAAATTAAGTCTGTCTGTGGCTGCTCAGAGTGACATTTTTTGATCCAGACCTTGGGGGATGAGAAGTCCATGAGACACAGAAGCAGAGATAAGGTTCATGATGGAGGGAACAGCAGGATGGCTCTCCCAGGGGAACCTTCGGCTAATCCTTGATTGTATTAGTCAGGGCTCTCCAATGAAACAGAGTCAATAGGAAACATATATATCAATATATCTAATACAGATATACATAGTTATCTATATATTGATGCATCTGTCTATCTATCTATCTATCTATCTATCTATCTATCTATCTATCTATCTATCTATCCATCTATCTAGCTATCTCTAGAGAGATTTATTAGGAAGAATTGGCTTATTTGATTACAGAGGCTGGGAAGTCCCACTGTCTGCCACCAGCAAGCTGGAGACCCAGGAAAGCTGGTGGTGTAATTCAGTTTGAGTCTGAAAGCCAGAGAGTCAAAGAGACAATGTCAACCCCAGTCCAAGGATAGGAGAATGACAAGAGATGCCCAGTTCAAGCTGTCAGGCAAGAAGCAAAAGGGACAAACACCTCTGTCCTCTGCTTTATTGTTCTCTTCAGACCCTCAAAGGACTGGATGATGCCCACTCCCACAAAGGAGGGCAATCTACTGAATTCACTGATTCAAATGCCATTCTCATCCAGAGACTCTCCCAGACACACCCAGAAATCACACTGGATCTGGGCACCCTGTGGCACAGTCCACATAGAATGAGCCATCCCACTAGTGGCGCGGCCCAGCTTCCCTATTTATAAGATAGGAATTCCATTCATACCGAAGATAAGACATTTGCCCTGAGGTCTTGGCCTTCCTAAAGCCCATGAACCTCTTCCTTTTACCGTGGTACTGGTTTGGTTTTCAGTTGGGCTGGGGTTTTACTTCTCTTAAGTGTGAGTCTTTTATTTATGGCAAGCAAAAGGGCGACTGTAGGTCACAGCCTCTCCCCTGGGCTCCCTGTGGAAATTAGAGAGGAAGGAGCCCATGGAGGCTGAAACCCCCAAGTCCATTAAATTAATAGTGATTTCTTCTCTCCCTGTGTAGCATCTCCCCCAACCTGGAGCTCGAAGCTCTGTTCAAACGACATTTTACTCAGGTGGAATTTTATCAGGGTTCAGTCCTCAATCCACATGATCTTGCAAGAGTCAAGGTAAGGAGGAATAGGTGACTTCTGCTTTTATTCCATTTGGTGGAGGGCTGGGGGAATTCCTGACTCTGTGGTGAGGGGACACACCTCCTACGTTGGCCATGAGTCATCTCCTAAACACCTAATGAGATCAATCACATACCAGCAACCTTGACATCACCCTTCCACTGGTCCCAGGACCTCCTTCTGGTGGCATATGCAAAGACTACCTATAACCATCCCACACTTGGACTGGTCATAACATGAAACTTACTTTGCTGGTTTCCTCAAAATCAGCTACTCATCAAGGAAGTAGACCAGTTGTATGGACCCAGTAGTCTTTATTCAACATAGTAATCGAGTAATTCCCATATTGAACACTTAAGTTGGACTCAAATATAGCTCTGACATCTCTTATTTACATCTGAAAGAAACATTAGGCTAAAATATAAAATAAAATTTTACTAAGCTATAAAACATTTCAACTTTCTTTTTTCCCCATCTAAGACTCAGAGTGTAAAACTAAACATACAGTTATCTGATATCATTGATAATGGGCGAATCTTTTTTTCTGGAACCTGGTAAGTTAGAACCTTCTCATAAAGCACACCTGAGGCTTAGAAGGGAAAGGTACGAGGCAAAATGGCATCTGCTACTTTACCTATGTAATATAGATTTTATAAGTATGTTCAATATTTGCATGCCAGGGGGTGTACGTTAATATAATGAATTCACTGAAGTCTAAATGCTAACCGTGGTCACCGCATAATTCTGTAAATAATATAATTGGCCAAGATGAATAATCCAAAAGGATTTGGATAAATTCTTTCTTTGCATTATTAGAGAAATCAGAGACGATTTGTGACATACCACAGAGGATATTATGGCCTCCCTCAAAATCCAGGAATGATCTATTAAGTACAGCATACCAAGTAGGACAGATTGCAGACCTGAACTAGCATAAGAATTCTTATGCTTATAGAGTCCAGTTAATCTTAATATTATCCAGACATAACCCAAGTCATTGCTTATGTAAAATCTTATGAGAATGTAGGGACAATTATTATTGTTCATAGACCTAATTTAAATGCAAGCAATCATTAGCACATCAAACTCATGGTCCCCTCTAAGGAATAAACCCCTGTGGGCTCATGTTTGGATAAGTCAGTAGGTGTATTTTGAATTCAGCTGTAACACATCATTTCATACATAGATTTGTTGTCTTTTAAATATCTGAATACTAATTGAATACTAAGCAATATGGTGATGTTATCTGATTTAGAGCTCTGATCTCTTCCTAGCCTATAGAAAATGAAGATGTGAAAAAGGTCAGATGAAAGACTTCGGAGTGTACATTTCTGAATCCCCAATACTCAGTTAACTTGCTAACTGGAGAGAAGAGATTTAACCCACCCACCTCCAACTCCTGATAGGAAGAATTAGGATGATGGTGCAGATGGTTGAGAAAGAAGTTGGGGAGGAGACTGAAAGGCTTGATTAATTGTTATTTAAAGAAATGTGGAAATCCTACAAGTAAGCAACGATGCCAGATGAAAAGCATAATTACCAAGGTACATGTTGTACCCTCCAACAGCAACAAGATGAAATGTTTATACCATAACAAGAACTTGTAACCTACACTTTTGACAAAAACTATAATTTCTCAGGCTCTCAGGATTGGCTGTTTTTTTTTTTTTTTTTTTTCTTTGCGCAAAGCACCAAGGCTTTCCCCAAGAGCTTGTCAACAAGAGAGAACTACAGTTGAGCGTGGCTTATTTATATGTTTGTGTTCTGTGATTTTCCCTTCGGTGTCTTAATAGAGGGTCAGCAGATGGCCTTGCCTGATCCTTGCCAAACGAAGGTACGTGCGCTGAACCCGGATGCGGAGGAGGTGCCTCGAACATCCATGAGGTAACTCTGGGGGCCGCCTGGGGAAGGCCCCTGGGCTTAGTCTGGTGGCCGTTCACGCCCTTTTGGGCTTTCTGCGAGAGGGACTATTTCTGCTGGAGGCGCTTTTTGCCCCACAAGCCCACCTGATAACTTTCACACCTGCATAGGCCTGGGGGGAACAAGGCTATCTGTGTGGGTTGGAGCGTCGAGTTGGGCAGCACAGGGTGTCACCAACGCAGGAAGCTCACCCTCCAAGCAGGAGTGGCAGCTCTGGGGGCTGACAGCTGGCCTTGGGTTTGGGAGATCCTTGAGAGCAGAACTAGAAAAGTAGATAGGAGATGGGTGCTGGCCTGAATAGAAGTACCAATGTTCCCGTAAGGGAAATGGGCGCTGGATGATAACTTAACTAAAGGCAGAGCCCCCAGGGACGATTGTTGCAAGTCTGGATGTAAATTGTTGGTCTATAATCTATATGGGTACCGTGCTGGTCTGGCATCTGATAGGTTAGAGTCAGGGATGCAATGCACAGGCGGTTGGTTCCCTAATCAATCTAGGTGAGACCCAGAATGTTAATGGCTGTCGGAGCTGAGAAAGACCTTTATTAGGTTTCCAAGTATGTCTACAGCATATTGACCGATCACCCCAGGAGGGGAGTTTAGGCTGACCAGTTGTAGCTGTTTCTTTCCAGATTTCCCAAAATTAATGTTCTTTCTGTGAAAGAGCGTTTTCAGGCGTTTGAATACTAATATGCGACTCTGAGATAAGCCGTACTATGTAGAACACTTTCCAAACCCTATTGGGACTATCAAGGCTCGTGCTCCTTTGTCCCACCCCCCACCCCTTTTTTTTTTTTTTTTTTTTTTTGTAGTGGGGGGGGGTGTGGGGGGGGGCCGGGGGTTGAGCAGAGTCTCACACTATCACCCGGGCGGAAGTGCAAGGGACCACAATCAGAGTCTCTACTGTAACCTTGAAGCTCCTGAGGCCCAGAAGGATCCTCTCACCTCCAGCCTTCCCAAGTAGGCTGAGGCTATTAGGAATGTGCCACCACCACACGGCCAATTTTAGATTTTTTTTGTTTTTTTTTTTTTAAGCAGGGACAGAGTCTTGCGATGTTGCCCAGGCTGATCTCGATCTCGATGTACTCCTAACCTCAAGTGATCCTCCCACCTGGGCATCCCAAAACTCTGGGATTACAGGAGTGTGCCACCGTGGCCCTGCCCTGCTCTCCTTTTTTTTTTTTTTTTTTGCAGAACATCTTCTAGGGGAGGTCACACTGGGAAACACTGCCCAGTGCTTTTTCTGCACATGGGTTAGACCTGTCAACTGCTAATCTCGGCCCCAACTCCAATACCTTATTCTTTTCCTAATTCAGAAAAAAGCAATTGTTCAGTTTTTGTTCCTTGCATAAACCCAATAGTCACAAGGCATTTTGCTCCAGGTAGTTAGAGGCCCTTTGGAATTTGTCTTTTCTCTAGAATAAATTGCAGAAGAGTTAAGAGGGCTGAGAGGAAATGATAAAGGGAAGCTTCTGGAGAGATGAGCTAAATTCAGTGGGATTTCGGTCCCACTGCACTCCCGGGAACTTTTACCTAACTATGAACAGCCATCTTTTGGGCCAAAGGTGTCCCCTCTCCCTGCGGCTTGGTTTACTGCCTCCTGGGAACTTACCTGAGGTTGAAGGTCAGGAAGTTACCTGTATGTCCTGACAATGTTTGCATCCCCTTTGTCTTTGCTTTCCATCAGTGGCCCCAAGTGACAGGAGCTTCTCCTTCAGTGAGGTGGGGGAATTCCTCCAGTGCATCTCAGAGGAGCCAGTCCCCCCCTAAGCATCTGGTCCTTGTGTCTGGCAGGCAACATCTGGCACCATCTTCTCTTGCCACTCACTTTTCTTTGGCAATATGCTTAGTGAGGTCATTTTAAGGAAGTTGATGCGTGAACTCTTCTAAGCATTGGGCTTGCCAGGCTGCGGAGAGAGGGTGGAACAGATTCTGGCATCACACCTGGGCCCATTCCCAAATCAGTTACAGCTGCAGAGTGGCTACACCAGAATCAGGCTTGGATGTGTCACTTATTCCTTTCTTTAAAGTAAGAAGGATTTTCAACTTTTGACACCTTTTTCTGTCACTGAAATGATTAAAAAAAAAAAAAAAAATGTAACCCTTTAAGGAACCTGGCTTCACTATCTTCAAAATTCCAAATGGAAAACCAAAAGAAGATGAAGCTTAACGTTTTGACTCCACAGAGATGTTTGGGGCTACCTGAGTAATAGCTTTGAAATGGGTGTTTCTCTTAATTGTAGTATTTTATTTAAACCCTAACTATGGTAGGGTTAATATGAAGACACATAGGTACTAGGGTGACTGGCAGGATGAGGAGGCAGAGAAATTACTGGTCAAGGGCTGGGCACAGTGGCTCACGCCTGTAATCCCAGCACTTTGAGAGGCCAAGATGGGCAGATCACGAGGTCAGGAGTTCGAGATCAGCCTAACCAACACGGTGAAACCCCTTATCTACTAAAAATACAAAACTTAACTGGGTGTGGTAGCGTGTGCCTATAATCCCAGTTACTCAGGAGGTTGAGGCAGGGGAGTCGCTTGAACCTGGGAGGCGGAGGTTGCAGTGAGCTGAGATTGTGCCATTGCACTACAGCCTGGGCAACAGAGCAAGTGAGGCTCTGTCTCCAAAAAAAAAAAAGAAAAGAAAAAAAAAAAGAAAGAAAAAACAGAAATTACTGGTCAAAGGTAGTATCAGAAACATAATTAAGTAGAGCCAGAACTGAGGCCCTGGCAGCAAAAAGAAGTGGGAAGTTCAGGGTTAAAAATGGGCTTTGTCTTTCTCTTATTTGTATAATCCTCCTTCCTCCTCAGTTTAATGAGACCAATCTGCCTCCTTTGAAATTAAAATGTCAAAGATCCATTTGAAATGAGCTAATGCAGAAAACTGGCTGAAGCTGTGAACTGCAAGGCAGGGCTGACAGAGGCTCAGAGTCCTTGAGTTATAAGCATGGGCCAACACAACACTTTTTCAAAAATAAAATGAAATCCTTCAAGTGCAAAAACCCAGGGTGAATTTGTGCTGGGGGAGGCTTTAGCGTGATCCATTTCCTAAATTCGTAAGTTGCAGCTTTTCAGATAAAGCTGCTCCCTGGCTGCCTTCTCTCCATTTCTGCACTAAACGGGGTGAAGTGGGGAGCACTGCTGGGTGGGAATTTTGTGGGGGTGTCATAATAAATGCACTTGCATTTCTGATTAGGCTTAGGAGGTGGGCCTTTCTGTGGAATTCCATTCTTTAGCCTTCCTTGTCACAGAAGGAAATGTACAATGTCACTTCTGACAGACTCGGTAATGACAAAAACCATAACTTACACGTGGAGAGAACTTTTAATGATTTCAAAGCATTTTCACATCTGGTCTCCCATTTGCTGCTCATACCAAGCCTGTGAAGTAAATAAAGCAGGTACTGTTGCTCCCAGTGTCCAGATGAGGAAACAGGAACAGAGAGCGCAGGGTTTTCCTAAAGGTGGCGCAGTTCATTAGTACAATAGCTGTGACTGGAACCCAGGTGTTTCCATTCATCTGCCCTCTGCCACTCCCTTTAGCACCATGATTGATGTGGGGAGGACATGTGAGGGCTGGGGTGGCTGCAGGCCATGCTTAACATTGAGTTTGGACTGCGGGGAGGTAGGAGACAATTTTCCATCAGCTCGTGACCCCCACAACGCCTTGGCACTTATTTTTAACCAGCGTTTAAGTCATCATTTTCTCTATTAGCTATGGAAGGCTGAGTCCTTGATCTCATCCTAAGAGCCCTGCTTAGAAATCATTTTTTGTGACAGTGGCCAAGTGTGTGTCACAATTAGAACCATTTGTCATCCTGCTTGTTTGATTTGTCATTGTTGTCTCAAGTTGTTAACTTGGAGAATTGGACTCAGCAGATTATTCTGGGCTAGTGCCTAGGGTGTGGGAGATTGCAAACCTCTGAGGCCCCATGATTTGGGCTTGCTTTCGATGTCTGCATAGGCAATAAGCTGGCATCCCCTGCTCCAGGCCCCCCAGTCCCCAGCACACACGTGCATACATCCCATCCCCAATGTATTCCAGGGGGCTGTCAAATTTTTCATGCCCTGGACACAGACTGCGGCTGTTTTGTGATTTTGTTTTCATGCTAGCAAGAGGTATGGTGGTGGGAACACTGTTTCGCCTGGCTCAGTGTCTACAACCCCTCAGGATAGCCCTGGCTGCTGGTCCTGATGCAGGATAGTTGAGCCCCAAATTGGGGCTTAGCCCATGAAGGTTTTTAGCTTCCCCCACGAAAGAATTCAAAGGCAAGCTGGTGGTAGGGCAGAAGGAAATAGCTTTATTAAAGCAGCAGTACTACAGCTCCGTGACTGCTCCTGCAGAGGGGGCTACACGATAGAGTAGCAGCTCTGGGCAGTTCTGCTGTCATATATATATACCTACTTTTAATTGCATGCAGATTAAGGGGCAGCTTATGCAAAAATTTCTAGGGAAGGGGTAGTAACTTCTGGGTCATTCGGTCATTGCCATGAAAGGCAAGTCCCATGAGCCCAGTGCAGATAGAAGCAAGTTCTTTGAGCTGTCTTTCTCTGTCCACCCTGACACTTAGGCAGTCGTATTAAAGGGTTTCCTCTTTCACGGCCTTCTTTGTTCCTCATGGTGGCTTCCCAAAATTGTATGTAGTGAGAGATGGAACTGGGACTGGAATTCATCCATGCATTGCAACTTGTTTTCAGGAAAGGACCTGGTATATGCCTGTAAAGCTATATCACTATGAACATATTCCAAGAGATAGTTGATTTCATAATTGGACAACGGGCTTGAAATATGAAGCATTTCAATCCCCTATGATCTAGTAATAGTAATGTTCTAAGGCCTAGAGGATATAGGGAAGCTCCTGGGTGTTGCCATGGCAATGGTAAACTGACAGGGCACACTGCTGGGCATGTCCAGTGGAAAGTTGCTTCTGCCCCATCCCTGTTTCAGCTAGTCCTCAATTTTGTCTGGTATCTGAGCCCTGCCTCTGGAATCAAGTCCTGCCTCCTACCTCAGTCCCATGGGTACCCCATTTGGAGATAATAAAATTGATGTTTTGGTCAGACACCATGCATAAGGCAGACCTGTCTCAGCGTTGGTTCTTTCTTTTTCAGAGTAATCTCTATAAAGAACTACCATCCGAAGATAAGAATCATCACTCAAATGCTGCAGTATCACAACAAGGTAGGAGTACAAGAGCCCGCTCCAGGCCTGAAGACACATCCACAGGTCCAGCCTCTTATTCCTCGTTATACAGCCTCACACACACACACACACACACACACACACGCTCGAACTCACGACCTCAGGTGATCGCA